CAGCCGATGTACAAGTCAGTGTTTTTATCCTCCCAGACAAAGTCTGGTACCAATTAACTGACCCCGGAGGGATGGAAGGCTTGGTTGGCCCGGACGACGCATGACCAGGGTTCGACCGGACCGAGCGCGTGGTAAGCAGCGCTACTTGCCACTAGGCCCTCCGCCCTTACCCTGCCAAACATTCCCACTGAAGCAACCGCTCTCTCTAATGGGTAGAGAGAAAATGCCATAAAACTGATGCACGAACTATTGTACCAAACATCTTCCCTTGGTCTCATACAGTAAGGGGGCATGTGGTGCGACAGTTCAAAAGCCCCAAAAATAATCCTATTCGCAAGGGAACAGCTCTGAGGTGGAGCAAGAGCAATGGTCCACGCTCCCAGGATTTTCTCTCTATGCGAAAACTGGAAGTTCTGTGGGCAGCACATGACCCCCTTACTGATGAGCCCCTCTTCTCCTTTATCCAGATATATCTTGACCACAAATTTATGCTCATTCAGCCTTCTCGATGTCAGGGCACTCACCTGAAAAACGTGAGAACGAACGTCCTGAGGTGGTGAATGGTCCATGTGTCACCGCCGGTGATGAACTGTACAAATCGAGTCGAAATCGAAACGCCAGTTAACGGCTCCGCATTCCGAAGACGAACTCGTGGCATGGCCTCTGAACACGCAAAGATACAGAGAGGACATACATTCCTGGCCGATGTCAGACTTTGCGATTGGAGCGATTTTGCACCAATTGCAGGAGCGACGGATCGCTTGAGCGATGCGCGAGCGACGGGAGATTTACACCGCCGACCACCGATACACACGGCGCCGCTCGGGTAAATCTCCCGTCGCTCGCATCGCTCAAGCGATCCGTCGCTCCTGCAATTGGTGCAAAATCGCTCCAATCGCAAAGTCTGACATCGGCCCCTAATTCACGAAGGATGAGAAGGACAGCAGAATGAAAGGCGTACAAAAGCTTCTGGGAGTAATGTTGACGACGTGAAACAGGTGAGGTGGTCGTGATTACAGAGCTTGCTCTGTACCGTTTCTGGAAATTCGTGGAACTCTTGGTCAGAGGCGTCCACGTTCACGTTCCTTTACGAAACCTTGTGAGAAATACCACCAGTTCAAAAGTTCTTACCTTACCAAAAGATTTCGTAACCGATAACTTTAGTTAGAGGACAGGCCAGCTTTGCCCGGATTCGTCTAAGGGGACCTAGTAGTGGGATGTAGCGCTGTTTGTTCTCGTACTGCTGACTCACTAGTGCACATTTTCGGGACAGAGGACTAGACGATCTTCAGACGGAGGGAGAGGCAACTTGTCGAATTTTGATGAAGTGTGGTCTTTTAGTTCTTGTTATCGAGTTGAAGCGAACTCAGTTTTTCACGCAGCGGGATGCCAGCGGAACATTAGACCTCTGGAAAGATTTGTCACAGTTTCACAGTACTAGGGATAATTTCAGAGGCTTTAAACAGCGAACAGTCCTGAATTAAGCTTTTCTGGATGCATAACAGCATCAGAAAACAGGTGCGGAAATAAAACAGAACGTTTATAATAAAGTTTGGGCTCGCGGGGGGTTCCTGTTCAGGTGGGCGTCACGCAAGCTGCCCATTGGATGGATTATGGAGGACGCCTGCGACGAGCCAAGATCTCACTAGGTACAGTAGGACTGAGTTAAGCTTGAAGGGAAGACGCCATAAAAAATGCTCCTATATCCCTTTCCCTCTTGCGAACAGTCTTGGAGTTCAGGGCGGAGTTGAGGGAATAATGTTGGCTTTAATTCAGGTTTAATGAGAATCACAACCACTAGGACGGTGGGAGGAAGGTTTGGCTTAGTGTAGATGACGGAGGGCAGGGGTGTAGGAGGAGAATGGTGGCAAGGGACGTTGGGGATCGTGAGCGAGGAAGGGAGAGGAGAATCGTACTTGTGAATTTCCTCAACAACGCACCCTAGGGACCACCCTAGGGACCGCTTTTGTGAAGCGTTAGGCAGCTCAAATCCGAAGCCATACCGAAGATTCTTCGAGATGATCTTCCCTGATAACCTATGTTCACATAAATACGGTGACGGCACTCGCAGATTCTTGATTCAGTAGCAGGGGTGTGCCATAAGGTATGATTTCTTGTCGCTTGAGCGTACCCGTGGGAGCGCGCCCCACCAGGCCATACGTTTGTGAGTAAGTGGTAGTAGTGGAGTAGTTGCGCGTAGGACTTTACATAGTGCACTGAATGCTTTACTTTTTGCTGTAATCGATCATACAATCGGACCTAAAGACCACCTCTTGTCGTTATTTATCCATGTCAAATCCGACAGCAGCGCTTCGGCAGCTTTGATACGAAGTTGGGGTTACGCTATCGTAACGCTATCAAAAGAGATGTGTCTGTAAACAGAGAAACAGCTTATCAAAATGGAAGCTTGATGCTCCAAATGAAAACAAGGTGTTGGTAGGTGTGCCTCTAATGAGTGACTTGATCGCCCATGAACACGACTACTCCCGATGGCGATGAATCTACTACCGAAGAAGGTACGCTGTCCTTTGAGGTTTAGTCATTTCAATAGGAGTGCTTGCTGTCGAGACGCCGACGCAGGGCTATCGCAAGATAAGTGGGCATACTCTAGGAATTAACCTAGGAGAGGACAGGAACTTCAGGGAGAATTGCTCACACCCTGGAGTCTCTCCTCCCCCGTTTATGGGTTACTCCTGTTTTTGAAAAGACGAAATATTCTACGCAGTGCCACCACAAGGTCCCGTATCTTGCGATAGCGCCCGCCGGCTATGTTCTTGAGGTGGAGGTGATATTTTGACCAGTGTGTGTTTACCACCAATATTTTCTTTTAGTAATGCTGAGGGGCGGAAGTGGTGTAGTGGCAAGTGGCGCGCTTACCACGCGAGCGGTCCGGGGATCAAATCCTGGGTCGTGAGTCGCCCGGGCCAACCAAGCCTTCCATCCCTCCGGGGTCGGTTAATTGGTACCAGACTTGTCTGGGAGGATAAAAACACTGACTTGTACATCGGCTGGCCCCCAAGTCATTGTATAGGCCACATCGCATTCAAAAGCCACTGCGAATGTACAAATGGAAGTAGAATGCGTGCCGCATCCCAAAAAGGGATTGATCAACGGCAAATGCTTTATCCTTTATCCTTTTATTTGGGGCTAAGTTCGTATAATGTAGTTCGTGTGAGTAGCAATTCTAATATTTGGAGTTCCTCGTCCTTCCGGTCCTCTTGGGCGCGCCAAAATGCTCGCCCCCTAGTTGCAAGCACTTAAGTGCCAAGGCGCTGCGAAGGCAGGTTGTGGTCTGCTAATCCGCTGAATTGGCAGTAATGGTAATTGGCGAAAATTATTGGGTTGTCTAATAATTACTGTCTCAATTTCGACTCTTCTGTTTATTCAAGTTTCGTCTCTTTTATTAAGCAACTGACTAATAGCATCGTATAACTTCGTATAATGGTACCCGAAATGCGTCGCATTAGTCTAAGGGATATGTTTTGGAACTTCCCTGCCGCCAGTATAAGTGAACTGGAACCTGAAGAATTTCCGAAGTCGTTTTTCTGGGGTGGCTCGCAATTTCATTAACCTTTTCGTCGTGCGATTGTGATTCAAGGCGCAGGGGACGGGCGAATGAGTCCCGATAGAGGACGCCCAATCGCATTTGTGGAGTGGGATTCGTGGCCCGGCTAAAAAATCCGTCCTCAGATACGTGGGACGTCCTGGCCATTGACAATGTGAGGTCTGGCGTACATTCGGAAAAAGGAGAATCTGAGACGTTTCTGACGATTCCCTCGCAACCCCGAAGCCAGCCTAGAGGGCTATTCCGCGCTGACTTTAGCAATGCTTGTTCCACACATTGAAGTGTTCCCCAAACCAGGCCACCTAGCGAATTCCAAACAAACGAGGAGGTGATGTATCTCATAGAAGAACAAGTTCGGTGCTTTTGGTCTATAGCTTGGCTTCCTGGCTGCGAGGTAGCCATCAGACGTTCCGTGTGTTGTTGTCGCAGTGGAGTCATGACTCATCTCCGATTAAGAAAGGCCTGCTTTTGCCGTCCCAGAATGAATTTTGCCCGGATAGGAGGCCCTCCACGGTCGGCCGGGACGCATGAGCAAGAAGCATAGCCTAGGACTATGACGGGCAAAACTATGAAATACTTATTCTGTCAGCATCAAAAATGACCGCAGACCCAGTATGAGGTTGAAGTTCATAGCTCGTTTCGTCTTTGCCGTTGCGATTGGTCCACTAGCTCAGTACCCTATCAGTAGCAGAGACTGGGTCAAACACAGCGCTGATCTTCTCTGTTGTCCTCCTTGCTACAGAGTTCATTTGAGGATCGTAAAGCATAATCATTCATTATAGTCACTGACCTATTTTTATTCCTAGTTGATTAACCCGTTACGGGCTTGCGTTTCCGAAACCATGCTGTTAAGGCTCTTGAAGCATACTTCAACATACTAACGTATTTCGCAATGAAACGGTCTTAGACGAAAAAACTTGAAATTGAAATGGGATAGAAATGAAACAAGAATTATGAGACAACCCAATAGCTAGAACATGTATAGCTTGTGGTATAATTACCCTTAAACGTGTAAATCGACCCCGCAAATCTTGAGCGACGCCCCTGGCCTTGAGGGGGGGGGAATGGTGGGGGCATTCAAAACAGGGTCTATGGTAGTGACACAACATAGGTCCAAGCTCAGGAGAGGGAAGAAAAGCCAGGGAGAACACAAATGGCTCACATTCCCCAAAGCTTAGTTCCAGGCACAGCGAATGGCTCACTCACTTGAAAGTCCCACCCCCTCCCCCAACGATATGAGCGCCAATGGTGGCCATGCAATCTTTTCAGGATTTGGTGTTTTGTCCAAAAAAACTTACTAAATCGCCGCATTTCTAGAAACCACTACAGAAGAGTGGGTGCACAGAAGTTACTCTGAAAATCCGCAATACATGGATGGTCGAAGTAAGTACAAGTTGTAATGGTTGTCAATTTTTCCACGAGAACACGACCCACAAGTTAGTAGGACCGTGTACTGATGTGGATGCGGGACACTTATCAAATGACGTGCTACCGTAGAATCTCAGAAATGGAGATAAGCCGTTTGGACAGAGCGAGCACCTGAAGTAAGGCGTGAATTATATTGTTCTGCTGTAGTCACGTACAATGCGCGACGCATTGACGCGTTGAAACGTGTGCTCGCCCTCGTTTTCTCTGCGCTCTCAACGAAGAGAGAACGCGTCGAGCAAACTCGCCAACTGTACTAAGCGCCGTTCATATAGGAGGTGGAGGATGGACACACGCTCGCGCGGCGGAGCGTACGCTGCGACGCTCGACCATTTTTGGATTGCTGCCCTGGACAATGGCTACCGCAGAAAGTGCGTCGCTGCGAGCGCAATGTACGTGATTGCGGCAGGAACGTCGTAATTCACGCCTTACTTCAGGTGCTCGCTCTGTCCAAACGGCTTATCTCCCAGAAATGCGCCGCCGAGACTCGATTTGGTGGCGCAACGCGACCGCGCGCGTCCCAGTAACCTGCTCTCGGTCACATGGAAAGTGAACCATGTGCAGTATACATAGCTATGTAGAACTG